GAAACGATAAAGAGAAATTGTTATCTAAGAAAAGATTTAAAAAGCCCGATGGAAGATTGAATCTAAAAGTTGGATTCGCGATGAATTTGAATTACCTACTTGCCATGTCAACAAATGAAAATGTCTTTGTATCACTTTAGCAAATCTTCGTGTCTTTATGGAACATGTTACATGAAAGACACTCTTTATTCAGAGCAGCATACAACTGTGTTTTATGTTTGCCTTTCATCTACAGAAGATATCGTGGAATTTGTAATATTCTAACACACGATGACAAGCTGATAACCGTTTCCCCTATTTCATCCCTCTGTGAGGGGTGGCTCTCCTTCAGAGAGACTTTAATGTATTTCGTCCCCAGTGAATTCAATTTTGCATGCATATTTGCCCTGGAAGATCTCGTCACGAGGGTGAATACATTTTAGCCACGCTAAAATTGTCATTTTCGATGACGAAATAGAAATTGGCGATTCTTACCCTGTGGTAGATTTTATTTCTGGTGAAAATTCACGTGATTCTGTGTGCTGTTCTATTCTGGCAATAATTCTCTTTGAAAAATGAGAAGTGAACTTAGGTAGGAAACTCAAAAATGGAGTGATGGATGAGGAGAGGAGAATCATAGTGTTTGTAAAGAAAAGAAAAAATAAGGTGTACCATTATTTCTCACTCTACCATGAAAGCAGAATTTTATTTTTATTCGTATCGAACTGTGGAATTTTGCTTTCTTAGAAATTACTATTTAGCTTTAAAAAATATTATAGATGTATATTACGTCGAAATTTTAATTTGTTTGCATTCATTAATGAATCAATTTCAATTGATCGTGTTTTACAAATAACCTTCGAACAGATGCATTGGTAAATAAACATTAGTCATCTGCTATCTCATTTTAGGATCGCTTATCTCCACAAATAAAAACTGCCACCCTGTTTCGATTAAACTGCGAGTCTCCCCTATCAGCAAGTCCTTATTCCCCGCGAAGACAAACGAATTCCGGTAAGACAAAAATACACGAATGGACGGAACGGTAGACGTTGCTCTAATCTCGACAGCCTAAGGAGGAATTCGAATTAGGGGGTCGATTACTTAGGTAATAATTGGAACGTCTTTTCAACGAAAAGTTCGAGGGGTATCCTCCTAGTCCAGAACTTTCAAAAAATCAATTTTTTGGGGTATTTTACCACAGCAAAATTACCTGATAAATTTTATATTTTGTCCAGGAAATCCAATTAAAATGAAAAAAGGAATTTACTTTTTTAACGCGTTAAACAAGAATTCTTTTAATGCACGCCGACGCTTCGCAACGGTCTGCATTTTGATTGCGTCCGTTAGTTGGCCACTCTCTGTTATGAGAGTTAATCCAGTCGAGGTAGTTGCGCGTGTTTCTCGAGGGATCGCCCAAGATTTATCTTCGTGAAATATTTTGCTGGAGGGTGCGAACGGACCGTCGAGTTCTGCAGTGTCAAAACGTGGCCACGCAGGCGAGCACTTTTTCTCTGATAAGCTTCCCAGTGTACCGTCAAGAGAAGGAGAAATCAGTTCCAGGTTGAGTGCGTTTTTATCCTCAAATTGTGAGAAAACGTAGGTATCTTTTTAGGATGAAAAATAACAACCCAGCTTATTTTTATTTAAAATTTTCTGTTTCTCCATGGTGAAGAAAACTACAGTTCTCAATTTCTATAATAACCCTCTATAATTACGTACGTAGACAACACTCTCATTAATTACTTATCGTCCCACGTAGCCAAAAATTAGTATCATTCGTCCCATCTCGGCGAGATCTTGCCAAACCCTAGACAACACCTTACTTCCTTCCGTGAGAGCCACAACCCTTCCGTTTTATGCGCGTGGGGCGTTCGCGGAGGCATTTCCTGTTAGGCGCTACTGATAAACCGACGTGGAAATATGTCAACGATTGTGCATCGCGCGTATCGCCAGACACGGACACTCTGGCGGCGTGAAATTCCCTAAGGGCAGAATGGAATTATAAAAACGCGACCAAGCCTCTGTGCGTTGTGTCTTCGGAGCTCGTGACGCGATAAACTTCTTTTATGGGATGCAATTCGTCGCGCGCCGCCGTCAGAGTGAAGATCGAATGCGATGTGCATGAAACAGTCATTTGTTAAGTGGAGTTTCTACGTGGAAATTCAACTGGCGCCACGATTTGTCACGAGGCCATCGCGTTAGGCCAGGAAGTAGAATAGGTGCGAACTGGTCAGACAAGAAATAAAATTTAAATAAAATAATAAAGCTAAGCAAAAGGTGGGATAGCTTACAATTCACTTTTAACTTCAAAGAGTTAAATAAAATTGCATACGAAGGACATTGTGATGTTTTATAAACAGCATTTTCGTCGATTTCAGTGTCACGAATGATCTCGAGGTTTACGGATCGCGTTTCCGTTTCGCCAATCGAACACGCGACGATGGAATGAAATCCTGGGCCGAGTGATTCGATTAACGCGATGCTCTGCTTGATACTCCGCAAACTGTCATTATCAGTTTCTCCGCTTGATGTTGGTCTTTCGCTCGTAAGAGCCCCGCCACCGAGTAAGAAGTTGCTTAATCTTCTTACTGCGCTTACCCTCGTCTACGTTGTACCACGCCGCCTTAACTCCGCGTACTAACATCCCGCTGTATATATATATATATATATTATATATATATATATATATATATATTCGGAAAACGTAGAGCTAATATTGAACGCCGTGTTATAAATTGAACTAAGTTGTTCCGGTAGCTTGGGACGGGTGTTCAGGGAGAAGTTGCGCAAGAATTTCAATCAGATTCTTTTTATCGTTTCCCTTTCTTCTGCGAGGCCGGGAAATATTTTTCTTTGTGCCGTTTGCAATGATTACTAAACGGCGGGGAACGTAACAAGTGTAGGGTATTCTTCTCGAACAGGAATGCAATTAATTTTAATTTATTAGAATGTTATTAACAGCACGAAGCGGAAAATGTGTGTGTAAAATACGCTGCCTCGGGGGAAAGACCGCGATACGAGGCTTCTTTTTCGATAAAAATTTTTTGAGATTTACTTTAAAATATATATATTTAGATACTAAAATTTCTACTGTTCCTACTTAAAAAATTGTAAATATTACAATCAAAGAGAAAACTCAATCTATCCTTTAAGAGGCAACATTAAAAAGTGAATATTCTAATGAATATTCGAAATAACATTTTCGAGATATACTTGAAAGTATATACACCGACGTAATAAGTTCTGAAAAGAGTTCAATCTTCAGCAACAGAACCACCAGGGCTCAAAGAGTTAAACTGCTTAATATTGCCCTCGGATCGCAGCCCATCGGATGGCGCGACTGTTGGCCGAGATTCATATTCCCAGGAAAGACACTCCATTCACGACGTGATCTACATCGTCCAGATTTCAGGATCGTTTCTCTTCATCCTCCCACTCTCTCCACCCTTTCACCTCGGACGCGTACGTATTCCAGACTCTGCATATTTCCCATCCTCAAAGGCGTCTTATCGCGACACTCGTCTCCGTTCCGGTGTGCGCTCGTACTCTTCGACCGTATGCGCGCACGTGGACACACGTACGTACACGTACGCTCACGGATTACCAAGGGTTTGGGGCATGTCGCGAGCGTGATATCGAATTGCGTAGTCATACGTGAAGCCAGACGAATGACGCACCGATCGCCGGAGAAAAATTCAGATCGCGTATCCGGGTGTGTCTACTAGATTTTCCTGCGGACGAGCCCAGAAACGTGTGCTACGAAAACTCCTCTGCCACTGCCAGAAGTATAGATCATGATCCAGAGTATGCGACGAGGTCGAAATAGAGGAGGATCTGGAGAGATCGCGTTGCGAAATCCGCTGGTGGAATAGCCACGGGATTCTTTTTTACAGAGAATTTTTATAAATGTTACTGTATGCGTTATAAATGTTTTTATTTAATTCGGAGATATTAATTTTAGTTGCATGTTTCCGGCTCGGACCATGTATGATCTAATTCTACCGGCCAGACTAGGTCTTATTCTACTTTCTGGTAGATGATTCTACAAGTAGATTGAGTCTATAGCAAGTCAGACGACGTATGACCTTACCCATTACCTTACCCACAAGTAGAGTTTTATTCGCCTGACTTGAAGAGTAGAAAGGGAACGTATCGAGTCGGACAAGTAGAGTTCTCTCCGTCTGACTTGCTGGAAAAGAAGTAAAGGGAACATATTTAGTCAAGCAAGTAGAAACATCAACGATTGATCAAACAAGTGAAGTAGAGACACCGCGCGACGTTTATTCTCCTGGATTTGTTTTGGATTGGAGATTGATGATTCGTTCTGTTGTCTCAGGACCTTATAGGCATCGCTGAGCCCCAAGACGATACCACCAGTGGAACTCATGGTACTCGTGTACCGTCGAGATGGGATCTTATCGAGGGGGCAAACGTAGCGACAGTAATCGTTGGATAAGTTTCCACCAGGGGCGGTTTGTTAGCGAAGTGACCGTATCGGGATTCAGGGGTTTGCTCTCCGGGGTCCTCGCATGGAAGGATTTCGCGGGTTCAGGATTTCGGGGACAAAATGTGAAACGCGGATCGAATGAAGCTTCGTTCCCTGGATGGATAATTATTGAGCGAAAACTGAAAATTGGGGAAGGTGCGAGTGGGGCTGTTCGCCTTGACGCGTGATTAAATTATGGTTTGAGGGTGGTGCCGAGTTATTGCTAACATCTCGCTACTTATTTCAAACATTTCTTCTTTTTTTAATAATACATATCTCGAATTGATTTTGAATACGTATCGCATTATAATTATTAATCGTCTTGAGGATGCCCGTAATATTCATCCGCACGTTTGAAGCACGTTGTTCTGGTCAATATCCTTCCCCAAGAAACGAAAGTCGCATGTGTCGCATAGTTTATTCAGTGGTCTCGGAAAGACGAACGGAGAGGGAACTTTTCCTTTGTAATTTTACGTCGCCGTTGTAACTTATCCATAACTGAACCCTCGACTGAAGTAATGTTTATTTTTAGGACTCGAAGCTGAGCTGTACTACGTCAGAGAAGGGGTGGTCAATACCTACGCGATGAACTTTGTCGTTCCTGTGCCAGCGAACATCGCGGACCTCGAATTTTCCTGGCAGAGTCTCGTTGGACACCCGGTACGTACATTAGCAAAGGGTTTCTTTCGAGAATCGATGAGACGTTGATTACTACTAACACATGAAATTTATTATCGTTTATTTTTATGTACGTTTCATACACTAGCCAGACTAGGTACAGTCTCATTCTACTTCTTGGTCAGACAAGTGAAGTGAGTCCATGGCAATCCAGACAAAGAGTGTATGATCTTAGGAGCCTTTCACTATTCACTTAAGGATGATTTTGATCCCTTTTGACCTCCCTATTTATTATTAATTAGATATATAATATAATATAACATAGAAATATAATAATTTTTTATTATATTTTATCCTTACATTCACGCACGACTATAATCAACAAATTGGCAATAACGCAATTCGCAATAGCCCAACGACATTTCAAAACCACCCCTCCCTTCGGCATTGCTAGTATCCGTACAACCCTCGACGTTCTCATAACGACTTCCTTCACGCAACTCCGTACGGCAAAGGAACATCCTATTCAATTACTATTAATAAGCAGCGCCTGGCCCCTCAAGACGCCAAACCAACAATTACGTTCGGCAATAAAGTCAAGCAGATCTGCCACCCCCTACCTCGTCAGAAATTAATACGGAATTCACGGTAACCGAAGCGCGTAACGACAAGCACGTAGGCTCGATTTCCTTCGCGTTTAACGTTCCCGGTCGAGAAGAGGAGGGGGCCGCGACTTTTCGTGTTTTCACCCCGTGTTCCATCGTTTGAGAGGGTTTGGGCGCACCGTGGATTCGGTTTCCTTGGCGACCAGAAGGGAACGCGCCGCGCTGGTTCGCATCAACCACCCTTTCTCCGTCTCCCTTTCGAATACTGGCTGTTTGTATTTCATATTGATAGAGTATTGATACAGCCCACCCCGTGACCCCCTCCCCTCGGCAAACTCGCCCCCTTCGCCGGGCGTTGCGAGCCACCCGTGACGGACGCTATCCGTCCCGGTCTGGGGTACGCAAACGAGCACGCCTCTGCGAGTTGCCATTTCGGCCGAGTCACGTGTTTACTTTGTTCCGCATTGTTGCACCTCGCTAATGGTCGGTGCGAGTATTTTCCTCGGCACCGGAGGGCTACTCGGTAGAGGCCCGCGCAAGCGCATCGCGTCCCTCGATAGCGCGGAGGACCATTTTATCCCGAATTGGGAAAAGTTCACATAAATGATAATAACAATATCCTACGTACAAAATATACGAACACCTCAATCGCGAAACTACTCCCATCAAATGAATCACATTGTAGCCAACATTTTCGAAAACACCTCCACCGAAAGTTTCTCTTGTCAAACGCCGGGCGTGTTTGCTGAAAGCGCGTCCCCTCGACTCTGTGTAACAGTTACGAGCCCGAAACGAACGCGAAATCTCTCAGCCATGCGAACGTCTCCCCGTGTAATGACATCCCCATGGAACGACAACAGTGTCGCCGCAGAATGCGACCAGCAAATTTGTCGAATCCTCGAATTTCCACGAAACGTCGATGGCGGTTACCTGTCGTCCTCTAGTAAAATTGCCAGCCATTTCGACGCTCGTCGAAAACCGAGAGGGTGGCGGGGGGTGGGTGGGTTTGTACGGGCACTCACACGGTGGCATCGTTCCTGTAACGCTTTATCGGCGTCGTGGGAACGACGCAACGACTACGACTTATCCAGCGGGGACCGTTCTCCGACCCCCCTTCCCCCCTTGCGTTACTCGTTATCTCGTGGATTTCGCCCGTAGGTTCGTTAACCGCGAAATCTCTCCATTCTCGCGGTCACGGAAACGCCGTTTCTTCTTATCTTCTACGCCCGAAGACAGTCTCCGCGTCCCCGCAACGGTGCCACGGATCGTTCCGGCGAATCCCGGATCGAGCGGAACTGGAATTAGCGCCGCGGACCAATTTCTGTAACAAATGCGCCTCGTTCCGACCCCGGAACTTTCCGGGAACTTATTCCTAACGAGAATGGGACACGCTCGGTTCCTTATCTGGGCCGGCTTTATCATTTCACTTCGCCCGTTGGAGACACTTGGGTTGGTGTATTTTCTAGGTTTCAATTTCAGTTACCGTATTCCATTTCAGATTTTTACCGGGGTGGTTATGTTTCGGGGTGGCTCAACCGCGCCGGATCGCCTGAATGTCTCTCATAATTGCGATGATGCAGCAACTATTTCGCATGCAATTTAATTTCCGAAACAATTTTTATTTTGGAATGCCACTTTATTTTGGAATTTTCACGGTCTTCTGCACTATGAATGTATTACTCAAAAAATTGAATCGAACCTTCTGGCCTTTAAATAACCTACGAGAGCATACCAAACATAAAGACGCTTTTGTTGCGGCGCAAATGTAGTCCGGGCGCGAATTTACATCGGAATCGTTCGACACGATCGAACGGAAAAACCGATGGAATCCAAAATGCGATCGTCGAGAATTGTCCGTCCAATGAAGCGAAACATATCCAATCAGCGTAGGGAACGTTGCGTCGTTTGGCCAAGATTTTCCGCCGCGACTCGCGCGCTTGTTCCCGTGCAATTTACCGATCTCGATTACAACCTAACCTCCCCTCGTTTAGGGGGACGAATCCGGTTTTTCGTTCGCGGGGGAAGTTAGTCCCGAACTTGGAGAAAAGTACCGACCTTCGTTGACCTGACTCACCCGCGTCCTTCTCGTCCATATATACATACATCTGTGCCCCGTGATCGCGTCGAGGCATCTCGAGGATCGCGAGTAATCCGATCCGATCTGGACCAGAAACTTGGATCGTACCCTCGTGACTCACGACACTTTGTTTCTTTTATCAGCCTCGAAATTCACCCCAACAGGGGTGGCCGTGATTCGGTCGGCGAGGTTTGCTGGAACTCGTTGATGCTTATCTGAACATATTGGCGAATGTGCTTTTGTTTGATACGGTATCGTCGTTGAATCGTGTTCGTTATAGAGGTAAGGTGTACGAGGACTATACGGTGTGGTTTGTTTTAATTGTGACGATTGCACTGCGGATGTTTATGCGTTTGAAAATATAAAATTGAAAATTCGAAATTGAAGAGTAGAGAGAATAAAATTTGTAAAATGGAAAAATAGAGCGGATAGAATGGAAGAATTGAGAAAGCATAGAGAGAGGATATAATCGAAATAGCGTACACCGAATTCAAGGAAGCAAAAACGGGCTGTTTTTCAACGATCTCACCCTCGATTACCTCGATATTCCCGAAACAACCGAGTTGAGTTGTACCGTTTTACTTTCACTCCCTCCCCCGTCCGTCCTTTTTCGTCTTTCTTTGTTTTTCAATTCAACGACGCGAGCAAAAAGAAAGTTATTGGTTGCCACGGACCCGGGGTGTATAGACTCGAGCGAAGTTTCTCGTAGCGGGGGTGGCTCGCTCGGAATTGGGGATGATTTGTGAATCATCCACTTGTTAGGCGAAAGTTCGTCGCTACTTTTTCTCCCTCCCTCGGGCCAGTTCCCCGAATGGCAAGCGGGGCGCGCCACCGTTGGGGCGTTTCATTCTAGAATTGCGGGGGATTGCTCTCTTTCCACCCCATTCTTCCACTCCATTCTTCCACTTGTCTATTACTCCGTCTATGTAGGTTACCAAACACCTACAGTTTCCTTTTTCGAATGGTCTGTTTTCCTTTCTCGGGTCGTGGAACACCCCTTGCTGCAGAGGATTCATAAAAGTAGGGGATGTAGCTATTCTAGATTCTGGAAATACGAATTTTTTTACAACCCCCGGTTGCGAAGGCGATGCATTAGGTAACAGGTTGATCGTTAGAATAAATCCTCCGAAGCTAGAAATACATATCCCTTTTCTTATTTAATATTACAGTATAATATATATTATAGGTCCGTGATTTACCATCTTAAATAATGATATATTCGAAGTATCATCATATTTAGAAGAAACGTATCTTTCTTGGATGTGCGATGGCACCCCTCGCCCTTAAAATTGCCCCCTTTCTTATTTCCTCTTTAAATAGTTGATCGTTCTCCCTCCCGCTCTCGTTTCACTTCCTCACTTTCATGGCGTCGGTCTTCGTCTCTCGTCTCCCATCGTCCTGATCGAGTAGAAGCAAGGGATGAACGTGGGGAGGGCCCAAGCCACCCCAGGGCGACAATTACTTGTAACACCGTCGGTCTCATGGGGTCGATGGGAACTTGATGGGGCGCACTTTCGACCAAAAAAAGGATATTACTGCAGCCTAGATCGACTCCACCCCATTGTGCGAGAGGGCGCGGACTGTCGCCCTTGTCTTATCGCAGTTGAACGTGGCCGATGATCCACCGGAAGCCACCCTCGACGCGTACGAGTATTGTGCGGTGTGCGACGTGCGAGTAGTACTGCAAAAAGTTAATTACTTTCAGAGATCGGACGGATCCACTCTGGTTTTTAATTGAATATGAAAAATATGAAAGGAAACATTTTGTAATAATTAGACTGCGGATGCTTATGGAAATTCATGCGTTTACAGACGCGGATGAAGATCAAAGACTCGAATTGAAGTACGTTTTGTTTTCCGAACGTTGTAACGCGTACTTTAATATTTTTATTTTAATATAGGTATGCATTTGTATATTTAAGATTTTCTTTATATTTACACTTAGCGTAAATGCATAAATATTTGCAGTCTAGCCTAAAGCTGAGAAAGATGAAGGAATACCCTATATAAGTCAATCAACATAATTCAATTCCTAGATTGGGACATCAAATAGGAAGGTTAGAAGATGAATTGGCGTTTCGTTCAAGTTATGCTGGTGGTTTGGTCAGTAAAGCTGACTCAGCGAACCCCTGCCTTAGACGTGGCTAGAGTTTGACCGACTCTGGCCTGAAACGGGTTGTCAGAGACAAGGTCCACGTGTCTTCTCGAAAATTGCACAATAATTGAAATTATTTTTAACGAAGTACCTGACATACTAAACTGAAAGTTAATAGTAAAATATGTAGTAAAATTATAAATTAAACAGATTAATAATTTAATTTTTATTCAACGTTGATCAATTTAATCGATTTTGATTTTAA